AGTGCCCTGTGCGTTTTCTGCACAAGAAAGATGCCATCCAAAAAATCTTTGAGGGTCTAAAGGAAGCTTGTCATACAAAGCTAAACTGTTTTCCTTATTCAGCATACCATCGTTTACCTGTGGCATTCTAAATTTCCAGCCTTCCATTCCGTGGTAAATTGTCATTACAGAATCTTCCCTATTTAATGGATTGTTTGGTATATTTGTTCTCGTCATGAATATGCATTAAATATTAGCCACTGGACGTTACACAACCATCAATCAATCATAGACATGATTTAGATATTGCGTATGCTTTGGAAAAAAATATCAAAATGTATGCACATCTTTGATATAGTCCTTTATATAGATTAGAACCCTGTAAAATGTTTAGGTCAGAAATCAAATGGTTCAACCGCCTCACTGCTATACGCATGTGCTACGTTTTTGTCGAGCCTGCGACTTTTGTCGCAGAAAGCTAGATATAGGGACAGTGATCCGGCGGCGGCGGCGTTAACTAACTTCTTAAAAGCTTTCTATTTTAGAAGCTAGAAGACATGGATGCTTCATACCTTGTATATAGATGCCTTATGTTACGACGTTTCCGTCTGTCATATGTCCATTGTCCTTGACCTCATTTTCATGGTTCAGTGACTATTTGAAAAAAAGTCAACATTTTTTGTAATGGTAATTTCTTTCTTATTGTGAGTAATAGGATAACTATATTTAGGATGTGCGTACCTTGCAAGGTCCTCATGCCCTTCAGACAATTTTCATTTGACCTCAACCTCATTTCATGGATCAGTGAACAAGGTTAAGTTTTCGTGGTCAAGTCCATTTATCAGATACTATAAGCAGTAGGTCTACTATATTTAGTATATGGAATGATTGTAAGGTGTACATGTCCAACTGGTAGGTGTCATCTGACTTTGACCTCATTTTCATGGTTCAGTGGTCAAAAGTTAAGTTTTTGAGTTTTGGTCTTTTTTTCTAATACTATATGCTATAGGTCAACTATATTTGGTGTATGGAAATATTTTATGATGTACATGTCAGTCTCGCAGGTTTTAATTGACCTTGACCTCATTTTCACTGTTCATTTCTCAGTGTTAAGTTTTTGTGTTTTGGTCTGTTTTTCTTCAACTATAAGCAATAAATCAACTATATTTGTTGTATGGAAGGATTGTAAGGTGTATATGTCTGTCTGGCAGGTTTCATCTGACCTTGACCTCATTTTCATGGTTCATTGGTCAATGTTAAGTTTTCATGGTTAAGTTTGTTTCTTAGATACAATAAGCAATAGGTCAACTATATTTAATGCATACATTTATTGTAAGGTTTACATGTCTGTCTGGCATGGTTCATCTGACCTTGACCTCATTTTTATGGTTTATTGGTCAATGTTAAGTTTTCTTGGTTAAGACTGTTTCTTAGAAACTATAAGCAATAGGTCAACTATGTTTGGTTTATTGAATGATTGTAAGGTGTACATGTATTTCTCGTTTGGTTTATCTGACCTTGACCTCATTTTCTTGGATCATGTTAAATTTATGTGTTACTTGTAGTAAAGCTTTATATTTAGGACTATCAACATAAAATCAATGGTTAGTAAAGAAGGCGAGACATTTCAGCGTGTGAACTCTTGTTAAACACTGTGTTATATTTTCTATTTCTGACCATGAAACTGATTCAGATTCCTTTAAGATACTTTTGCCAGATCTTTGATAGCTTCTGTTTAATTTGCCGTTTCAGAATCTAATGCATTCTGGGTAATATTTTTGAAAGTGTGCACCAAAGCGTCGTGATTGGTTTAAAACGTCCTCAACAATTGAAATTTAACCAATGACGTGACTTTATTTTCATTTTGAGGTACAAACAATAAAATTACCCATAGTCCTTTAGATTCTGAAACGGCGAATTAGTCAATAAAATTGAGAATGGAAATGGGGAATGTGTCAAAGAGACAACAACCCGACCACAGAACAGACAACAGCAGAAGGCCACCAACAGGTCTTCAATGCAGCGAGAAATTCCTGCACCCGGAGACGTCCTTCAGCTGGCCCCTAAACAAATATATATACTAGTTCAGTGATAATGAACGCCATACTAAACTCCAAATTGTACACAAGAAACTAAAATTAAAAATAATACAAGACTAACAAAGGCTAGAGGCTCCTGACTTGGGACAGGCGCAAAAATGCGGCGGGGTTAAACATGTTTATGAGATCTCAACCCTCCCCCTATACCTCTAGCCAATGTAGAAAAGTAAACGCATAACAATACGCACATTAAAATTCAGTTCAAGAGAAGTCCGAGTCTGATGTCAGAAGATGTAACCAAAGAAAATAAACAAAATGACAATAATACATAAATAGCAACAGACTACTAGCAGTTAACTGACATGCCAGCTCCAGACTTCAATTAAACTGATTGAAAGATTATGTCTTCATCATATGAATATCAGGCACAATCCTTCCCGTTAGGGGTTTAGTATCATATCATCATAACATATATGAGAAGAACATAACCCGTGTCATGCCAACAACTGGTTTTTAAATAAATGTGTTTAGTGCCGATGCAAAGACCCTATAAGTGAATCAATATTAACGCCAAAATATGCAATCTTTAATGACCTGACAACAGTATCGTAACTATATCCCTTCTTAATAAGTCTATTTAAAGGTTTTGTTAGTTTCAGAGGTGAATACTGACATTTTTGTGCTTTATAAAGAATATTTCCATAAAAAATTGGATGTGAAATACCTGAACGTATAAGAAGTCTGCATGTTGAGCTATATTTACGAATGATGTCCTTATACCGATGATAAAATTTAGTAAATGTTTTGACTAGTTTGTGATATCGAAAACCCTGGTGTAATAATTTTTCAGTAATACATAAATTTCTCTCGTTAAAATCTAAAACATTGTTACATACACGAGCGAATCGTACAAGTTGAGATATATAAACACCGTAAGATGGTGACAAGGGAACGTCACCATCTAAAAATGGATAATTAACGATAGGAAATGAAAAATCATCTCTTTTATCATATATTTTAGTATTAAGCTTTCCGTTAATGATATAGATATCAAGATCGAGGAAAGGGCAGTGGTCATTGTTAGTATTAGCTTTATTTAAAGTAAGTTCAACAGGATAAATTTCTTTAGTATACATACTGAAGTCGTCATTATTGAGAGCCAAAATATCATCCAAATATCTAAAAGTATTATTAAATTTGTGTATCAGATGTTGTTTCGATGGGTCTTTACTGATTTTTGTCATAAATTGTAACTCATAGCAATACAAAAAAAGGTCCGCAATAAGTGGTGCACAGTTAGTCCCCATTGGAATTCCGATAACCTGACGATATACGGAATCTCCAAAGCGAACAAAAATGTTATCTAGTAAAAATTCAAGGGCATATCTAGTATCAAAGCATGTCCAATTGACATAGTTTTTTTGTTTATTGCTACTAAAAAATGACCTAAAAGAGTTTGAACATATATATTCACATTCTGACTTTTTAAATGCCCATTTAATTAGGTGTGAGAATTTTTTCTTAATGAGAATGTGAGGCAATGTGGTATATAGGATAGAAAAATCAAAACTTTGAACAGATTCAAAATCACCAATATATGCATGCAATTTATCAAGTACTTCCAACGAGTTCTTGACACTCCAAAAGTAATTAATTCCACTATTTTCGAAGGCCTTATTTGAACAATTTATTATCAGGTTTTTGATTGTACCAAGTGTACTGGTAAGAAGAATAGACAATTTAGTAGTGGAATACCTTTTTTAGACTAAGGACGAGCTTGACATATTGTATAGACAGCTATAAATTGACACAGAATGTATGTTGACCTCTAGATGTCTTTTGATTGTTTGTGATCTGGGGTACCTGTCTCATGTCGTATACTCCACATTCCTTTTTATTCACAGACATAAAGGTGTAAGCGAACTGTTTAAAACTTTCTGCTACTTTCACTTAAACTCACAACTTGATGTCAATATTCAATCGCAAGGCTCGCATTGATCTACTTTTGATATTTCCGAGCATTCACCTTCCCTATGCGATCTTTATACGCTTCTGTAAATACTAAATTCCTTATGTATACTTATATCTGGAACTGGTGAATAACTGTAATCAACGTTCATTTCTCAAGCTAAGGAAATCAAAAAGTTTAACATAGGGATAATTACATGTAGGGTGGTTGACTTTTTACTAATAATGATAGCTTTATCTATTCATAATATTTAACTTTAAGAATTTGTAATTGTACTGTAAATGATTTAAATTATTACTTATATTAAATATTGTTAACACAACAATAGTGATAATGGCCTCATAGTTGTAATCTGTAAAGAATACAATTTTATTTTATTAAAAGGAAATTTGTATTTTTATATATCTCGTTTGACTAATGGTTTTTGGCAGGTGTATGCTTTCTTGGTCTTTGCCATACATGAGAGTCTGGATGGGGTATACGGAATACAGAATAATGGACAAAGAATAAAGAATAAAGGGGGTAGAGAAAAAATAGCCTTACCAAACATTTACTCACAATTTTATTTGTACATTTCTACCATTTACTGAACTTCTTAAAATTAATTTTTGGTATAATATCCGGCATGTTCTCATTTTCAACACGATTGCTCTACCTGGTATTCAGCCACCCCCCCTTTTTCAATGTCTTGTATTGTTTTGACAGTGATCGAGATTTTTTTGTTTGTTTTAAGAAATAAAATTGGGGGGGGGGGGGGGGGGGGGGGGCAAAACACTGAATTGATGACTTTAACGTTTCTACAGTTCTACAGTGGTACTAATTTATTTTTAGTCCTACAAAAAATAATTTTATCGGCCATTTTATAAAACGGGCAAAGTTTCCCAAAAAAATCATATAAAATTGTAGTTATGAAATATGGCATAACACAACAACTCTTAATTGAACGATGAGATCAGTTTTCTGCATACCTATTGCTTAATCGAAGGCTCCAAAGAGATTCCAGATGTCTATCGTCTGCAGATAATCAAATGATTGTCTACACATGAGTTACAGCATTTTCGTCTTCTGATTCATAACATCAGTGCTATAATTCAAGAAGATTAAGAACACAGGTAAGAAAGCAAATACTTAGAATTTTTCACCTCTTGTAATGTGTAATTTGTCCAATGTACAATTACTTTTTGTCAGTCCCTTGTTGAATACGATTACTATGTTACAACTATTGCGTATTGGACACATATTTTCCTTATATGTTGTTAAAATATGTGGATATCCGAAAGAACCGTTTTTTTCTCTCTCTCTTTTCACAACCAACAGTTTTGTATCTGCAATCAAAATGCAAAATTAAAAGCGTTATTTTTATATCCTGTTAACTACTATTTATTTAATGATGCATAGTAACTGTTGTATCCGTGGGATTAAAGGCAAATTATTAATGTTTTACTAAAAATATTCAACAAATCACAATCTTTGAAAATGAAAAACAGATCAGTTTAAGAATCATTACACACATTTTTAAATAATAAGGCTGTTTTGACAAGTTTCAGAAAACTGAGATGAATGTATGAATAATATTTCTAATTTGAAAGTGCAAATCGCATTGATAGCCTATTCAGATTCAATGTTGATTTGTAATTGCCCCGAAAATTGATTGAAACTAATTCAATGTGCATTAAAGATGTGCAGAAAGAGTTTGGCGATATAGTATAGTGAACAAATAATGAGAACAATACTGCTAAGATTCAGCGATGATTCAATGGCACTTCTCTTATCTAGAAGACAGCCATTACACGTGATCTACGAAGGATGCACATGCATGTACGTGCATTTTGTTTACATGAAATCAAACATAAGATAATCATTAGGGTATTTATAGAGTAGAACAATGTGTAGCTAAATTGACGATGTTTCTCATCAATATAAATTGAAATTGAAGCTGCCATACAACTATAGTTAATTAAGATGATTAATTCATCTCAAAATAAATTATTGCAACTGGTAAAATGGCAGTGAAAGAGGGACATCACAAGAGAACAAAATAGAAAAAAGGAGAATGGCTATATCAGCTAATAACGTAAATGAGTGAATTCGTAAAGAAATGTTTTGTATTTTCTATGTATCGAAGAATATCATCTTCGTATTAATTATTGATTTGTTTATTTATTGTTTGTCCATGTTAAATTTGATTGTGACAACATTATTAATTCAATGGGTAAGCCTCCACACTTCTGGCTATTCCACTATCAAGAATTTGTCCAAACAATTAAAACAAAGATGAAATTTATTCAGAATTACTAGATAAATATAATGAAAATGCTCGATTATTCACTCAACAAATTCGTATTTTTTTATAATTTGAAATAATATAGGTACTAGCATTTTGAAATTTGCAGTAACATGAATATAACATTATCTATACATTATATGCATAATGACGGCTGCCTCTAAAACATTTCTCTTGTCCAGATTTATTTTTTCTAAAATGTGTTTTTACTGGTTTACTCGGTAATTAGGTATCCAGAAAATGTCGACCTATGATCTCCATAAATAGTTTCCGTACCACTAATATGTTTAACATAAACTGTGTCATTCATCTTCAATGCCAGCACAACATTCTGAGTCCCAGTCGATAAATCAGTACCGAAAGCCCTGACCATTTTCTCATTATTTTTCCACAGATCGCAGTGTAAATAGCTGCCACTATCGGACATAACCGTTGTTGAAATAGAGTAGAGTCCCGTTTTCGGCCCAGTAAAAACTCCAGTGTCCTGATCGTAAGCTCCACCCATGTTTAACCATATTTTGTCAAATATTACAACTTCATATAGACCAAGATTTCTGGATGATGTAAGCGATGCTGTAAAAGCTGGCCTTTCCTTTTCTCGTCCAGGTTCTGAAAAATAATTCTCAATGCAATTTGCATAACACATGAAAAATAACCCAATACGGACTATATTGTCTATAAGAATAAGAATAAGAATAAGAATATTTATTATTCCAATCAAGGACCCTTGATGGGCAGCATGACATGTATAACACAAAACAATACATTGTGATTTGTAACAGAAAAAAACAACATTTTTTTTACATTGAAATGAAATATTAAAAGCTCATAATAGATGTTATCATGATAGAGCTACATATATTTCTTCATTTTATATAAAAATCATGTACATTTAATTCCAGACAGGACCAGAACCATTGAATCATTACAATAATCATCGTCATTACGTATATTAATTTACATTTCGTCTCACATCTAGTCATCAAATAATATAGTTCCCTAAATATTTTAGGACAGACAAATTTTCATTAGCAAATAACAAAACAAATTTTGCCTCATTTGAGAGATATGAAAAATTAGGACAAATACTGTTTATCTACTTGAAAAATATCTCCCTATCATATTTGTATGCTGGACAACTAGTAATAAAATGTTGTTACCTTCAACCAAATTAAGGGTACATTTCTTACAAAGCCTTTGATCTCTTTCTATATATAAAGTTTTATACCTGTCTCTTTCTATTTTGAGACCATGGGCACTGATTCCGATTTTACATATGACACTTCTCAATTGAAAATTGTTTAAAGATAGACAAATTTCTTTGGAAAAATAAGTTTTTAGTTTGAAATAAGTATCTAATTTACTACTTTTTGTATCTGTTCTTTTTGTGTTACAAAATTTTACAAAACTATTACAAAGTTTTTGCTTAACTGACTTGATAAAAAAGGTTAGCTTTACCTCCAAATTTTGAATATTTAGCTTTTAAAAATGTAATGTATGGATAGATACCAGCATTCCATATTATTAGTAAACATGTTTTTGTTACACATATAGGTATCATACAGTACCATATTTCATATTTTTTATTCTAAACTAATATTTCAACATTGATAATACAACTGAAAAATATAAAGGGAATCTACCAAGTTCTCCTAGCACAGCTAAGTTAGAAGATTTTTTGTTTACACCTAAAATATACTTCATATATCTTGAATTGGATTTATCTAAAAAAATCATTAATATAAATGTGCTGTAATAAATATTCACTTTCTTTCTGGCATGCTGCAGAGCTAATTTTAAACATACCTGTAATTTCACTGCCATACATTAAAATAGGTTTTATTGTATGGTCATATATATGTAATAGAGTAGAAATACTTGGATTGGAAGAGGATAAAGATCTTTGCAATTTGAGTAAAGCTTTTAGTGATTTTTTGTATAATTCTTCCTTTCCTTGCTAGATTGACCTCTAAACACCATTTAGTACAAAATTTGGATAAACCATCAAGTCGTTTTTGGAACTAGAAAAAATAACAATATCATCTGCATACATGAGGCAGTCAATTTTGCGGCCATTAATATCAACAGCATCTGGACTTTCATTAAATGCATCCGGTAAATCATTTATAAAAATCTTGAAAAGGTTGGGACTCAAAACATCCCCTTGTCGCGTTTACTCCAATTTGAGAATGAAAATCAGGAGTAAGCACATTGTCTATTTTAACACATAATTCACTTTTATTGTACATATCTCTCAGGATTGCATAGAAATTACCCCCTATACTATGGTTTGATAACTTATTTTTTAAACCAGAATGAACGACTTTGTCAAAAATGCTTTTTTTGAAATCGACAAAGCAAGCATAATAAAAGTTTCCCACCTTTCATACTGGTGTACTTATCCATTATAGTTTTTAATAAAAACATGTGATCAGATGTCCTACATTTACTTGAAAAACCAATCTGACAAGGACTTGATATTATTTAAATATTTATCAAGCCTTTTGTTTAGTATTGAATTGAACAATTTTCCCATACACATATTAATTGCAATACCTCTGGTACAGTAGTTTTCATGTTTTCAGGTCTATATGAAATTATGCTAATTGAAAGGAAAATTGGGCCCTCACTTGAAACAAATAACACATATCTGTACTCTCTGCATATCAGTAATATAAACATAAAAAAAGATGTGGTAAGATCACCAATGAGACAACTCTCCACTAGAGACCATATGATAGAGAAGTAAAATTAAGAAGCATTAAATAATATAACAATATCTCTTACTAAAGCGAATTTTACACATACGTTCATTACTCAAAATACATTGTCATGCGGAATTTTTATGGCCGTTGATTTTTTTTTCTGTCATAAAAGCTACAGAAATACTCCATACATACCGTATCCAATGTCGGCAATAACAGCCTGTTTTATCCGAGAACTCATCTCGTTCTCATGGTATCTTCTATTGTCTTCTCAATAGCGGTCTTCAATACCTGGTTGAGTTTAGTGGTATCGAACAGAGCAACTAAAGGCATATTTTGATTGTCCAGAAGTGGTATCTCAGAGGTAGAGTTATCACTGTTTTGTCCTGTCCCGTATTTCATAATTATTATTACAAAAAGTAGAATCTAAATCCTCCTTAATACCATTATTACAAGTTTAACAACTGTTTTATTTACTCGGACTGTTCAGTTAACAACCTGCCAGAACTGATATGTTTCGGAAATTACAAAGTAAAAAGTATTTATATGCACCGCTCACATAGAAAAAAAAAAACACTAAGGCAAATTTTTTTTTCGCAAATTAAAGATCGACAAATGATGTAACGTTCGTGGTCTTTGATTCGTTTTGTATGAGATACCAAAGGGAACTGATCTGATTGGATGAATATTTTGTCACAAGATCTATAGTTATGTTGAACATTATTTACAACAATATCATCCACCTTGGTTGGGGCTCAGGTAGGTTAGGGAGCTACCATTTGATTTTTAGAGGGGGGGGCTAGGATGAAAATTGAAAAAAAGACAGGACAGGAGTTTTGAGTAAAAAAAAAGGCAGGATGAGCAATTTTCCAAAAAAAAAGGCAGGATGACAATTTATGTTAAAAAAAAAGTCAGGATAACCTAATTAAAAAAAATGCAGGACCGAATAGAGTAAAAAATAAAAAGGCAGGACAGAGATAACAATTAAAAAAAAATGCAGGACAAAATTTTTAATCCTAGCCCCCCATAAAAATCAAATGGTAGCTCCCTTACCTACCCCCTGACATTTTACTACGAACAGCAGTAGGCACCGAACTTACAAATAACAGATTGATCTCACAATTGTAGGAAAGTTTTTAGGGAATAAAACGTTGATGAAAATGTTTATACGTTTTTACGACGCGAGTTCCAGGTGAACTTAAATTGCTACCATGTTTTAAATACAATGATAAGGATCTGAAGTATGTGTTTTGTTAGATTTATTTTATATTTTGCACTCAAAAGAATTTTGTTTACGCACCAAGTTCTGTTGACGTCAACGTATATCATAGAAATATATTTATTTTTTTACATTATCACTTCAATCACAAGATATTTATACATATAATTTCCGTGCTCTCAACATATGTTTCTGGAAGTTTTGTCCTATAATATTCAACCGTAAAATGCTGTACTTTTAGCGGTTATCGTTCTTGATCACAATGTTTATAATAATGATTTTTTAAGATATGTGAATTTGAATGGAATTAGTTTTATATTACCACTATTCGTTTGTAAGCTTTATTAAGATATAAGATAGCGTCACATTTAAGAGCCAGTCTTTGTAAGAATCAGGCAATTTAGAAGAATTTCAAAACATGGCCGAAAAAAACCCACCGAACTAACCATCCTCTTTTGAAGTTACCCTTATTCTGAGTTAGAAATGGTAGCTCTTCCGTTTCTGCGTGTCTGGTAATTCGAAAAACCTCTACTTAACTTTTGGTTAGAATGATAGCAAATTACGGAGTTACCTCCCCTTAATTGTAATTTCTAGTGCAATTCAACCAAATTATATCTTGAAATACCAGAACAGGAAAAGGAAACGAATGTTATATCCGAGCATTATTGTACATTTTGAACATAAATTAATGTAAACTTTTATGTTTTCACCACTGCCTAAGAATTAGGCAGATTGGCACTTAAAACATGACACCATTGCTTGGAAGTAAGCGCTACCACAATTAATCATCCCCCCCCCCCCCAAAAAAAAAACCGCAGTCACCATATTTTGATTTAAAATAACACGCTCAAGAACTTTATGTATTGTTCAGTATAAACGTTTTACTACTCTATCAGAACGCTGACTTCCTACTTACACAAACTGTGCATACAGGGGGTCAATCAAATGTTGGTTCCCTACAATCACAAGTCTAAAATCTTATTTTTAGATTTTCATGTCGAAAAATTTAATGAATACTTTTCATATAAAACTTGAGGAAAAAAGTTCGGGAGCATTAATAAAATGCAGTTGTAGAACTGAGAATGGAAACGGGAAATGTGTCAAAGAGACAACAACGCGACCAAAGAGCAGAAAACAGTAATAGTATCTATTACAGGAAGAGGTCAAATGGATAAGTTTAAGGAGCCCCAAAGAAATGATATTGTTATTTTCGTTCAAAGAAAAATATTCAATAGTATAATAGAAATATTTTCTGTTAGTATGGTAATTGCTAAAAGAAATCGTATGTCAGGAAATGCAAGCTCTGGAATATCGAAACACAAGGTTGGTACATACACCATACCCAGGCCCCGCTGAAATGCTGCTACAACAAAAATGGAAGGCTCACAATGAAAACAAAGTCATTTTTTTGTCTTTCAGTTTTTTTAATTTTTTATTAAAGTTAATTGATACAACGTACTAAGCGACCTTTGTCCTTAAATAAATGAAATCTTCTCAAATGCATAGGAAACATTAAAGAGTTTTAATCAAGTCCTCGTCTTATTCCATATCTTGCTTAAGTTGGTCAAATTCTAAAGTTCACGATAGTTTCATCAGTTTCATTGTCCATTAATTAGATATGCAGAAAACATGCTATAGTGCTCTCCTAACATTGTTTCCCCGGGTCTTTCGTCGTGCTTTATGTA